ACATTTTGAATTTAGAAAATATTTCTAATTGTGTAAAATACAATTGATGTGTGATTTAGAGCCATAACTATTAAACATGGTGAATATGACTTACTGTTAAAAGATAAGAGATTTCCTCTGTTTGTGCTTCTTTTTTGTTTAAATCTCATTTTAAAAACATTTTAGCTCATCAAAATAATTTGATAAACCTTTAAATCAAGTTATGGCTCCTGGTTTGAACTGTGCTGACTGCCAATAGAGCTAGCATGCTCCATAATGCGCATGAAATCTGGATGTAACCTGTTTGACTGGTGGTTTTAGGTGTTTTTTAGCTGAAATTAAGTGAGTTTCCCATTAAAAACGCCTTCTATAAAGGCCCGTTTTTCTTTTTTTTCTCCTTAGTTGTATGTTTAGAATTTGTAGCTAACATATTTTTAAAGAGGAGCAGGCTGGTGGATTAAAGCACAGCTGCTCTGTGTTCAGCAGTAATTTTGTTACTGATATAAAGAAACTAAACTCATAACTTCAGCACCAGATTGTTGCACAGATTTAGCTTAAATTTTTCTTCTTTAGAGATTGACGGCGAGTTCATAAACAACCTGAAGATCCTGATCCCCTGGATCCTCAGTCCTCGTAACATCGACGTGAAGGAGATCAACGGGAGCAAGATCACCTGCAGGGGCCTGCTGGAGTACTTTAAGGTTGCTACACCATCCGTGATGCGAGTGTTTAGGAAAATTAATCTGTTTTTTTTTTTATTTGTAACTTTTTATTTTTTCTTATGCTTCAGGCATACATCAAAATATACCAGGGGGAAGAGTTGCCTCATCCAAAGTCGATGCTGCAGGTACCATGGAATATACCTGATATTTTTAATATTTCTGGATATTTCTGGATCACATCTGATGTGTTGCTTTTATTCCTTATCTGCTGTCACTCAGGCCACAGCAGAGGCCAACAATTTAGCAGCAGTTGCAGCTGCAAAGGATCTCTACAACAAAAAAATGGAGGAGGTTGGTGGAAAGTGAATATAAGCCTCGGGTTGGAACTTCTTTGTCACTTTAACACCATTCTTCTCTGCTCCAAGGTCTGCGGGGGTGATAGACCCTTCCTGGCCCCCAGCGAGCTGCAGAACCGACACGGAGCCATCAGGGAGGAGGCCCTGCAGCTCTTCCGCGGCGTCAAAAAGATGGGAGGCGAGGAGTTTAGCCGCCGCTACCTGCAGCAGCTGGAAAGCGAGATCGACGAGGTGTTTGTTCAGTACATCAAGCACAACGACTCCAAGAACATTTTCCACGCTGCCCGCACGCCGGCCACACTCTTCGTGGTCATCTTCGTCATGTACGTGGCCGCAGGGATCACGGGCTTTGTGGGTGTGGACATCATCGCCAGCTTGTGCAACATGATCCTGGGCCTGGCGCTGATCACTCTCTGCACCTGGGCCTACATCCGCTACTCAGGGGAGTACAGGGAACTCGGCGCCGTCATCGACCAGGTGGCCGGAGCGCTTTGGGACCAGGTAGGTCGAATAACCTGAATCCAAACAACTAAATTACTGTTGAGCCAATTATAATTACCAATCTATATTTAAAATGTAGATCCAGATTCTCATAGATTTTAAAATGCAATTTTTGTTAAATGTTTGCTAAGGACTCGAATCAATCATCCGAGCTAACTTAATGTCAGAAAGAAATTAGAAACGCATTAAATGTACATAATACGTCCACTAGGTGGCGACAAATGCTACACAGAGTTTATCAGTGAAAATGGTAAACTTTTTAAAGTTTTGTGGAAACAGGGTTTATTCATTAAAGCTGATACTGAAGGGGAGGATGCAAGAAAGAATAGAGGAAAAAAGAGGAAGGTCACTTAAAAGGAAAGTAGGGAACTGTACAAGGAAGGAATGATGGAAAAGGAGGAAGGAAAGAGGGAGAGGACCCAAGGAAAGGGGAGAATCACACTGGGATAATTGGCAAAAAAATAAAGGGTAAAAATGGTTTACAAAAAACAAAGAAGACAAAAAAATAAAGATTCAAGATAGAATAGGGAAAGGGCTGGATAAAATAAACCCTAAAGAAAACAAGGAAGAGGTAGGACACAAGAAAGGGATGAAGGAAAAAAGATGGAAAGGAATGAAGATCAGGATGGATGAAGGAAGGAAGGAGATAAAAGATGTCGGTCTGGAAATAATACGTGCATATCCTCCCATATTTTTGTCTTACTGTGTGAGAATCCAGCTCCTATCATCATTTTCCTCTAAAATGTAATAAAGTGTTTCTTTGCTGTTATTGATGAATCTGTTCTAGTTCAGTACCTTTCCACTTACTTTCTGTGTATTTGTTCTATTTAATGCTTCTAGGGGAGCACAAATGAGGTGAGTATCACAAAGAGCCAGAGGGGCTACTCATCTGCTTACCAAACAAGCTCTCATGTTTGTGTGTGCTTGTCTTCCATCTACTTTAGTGCAGGAAATCAAGTCCTTCCTTGTTGCTCCAAAAACATGTCTTACCATGTGCAGATATGTGCCCCTACGCCTCAGCTTATGTCTGCCGATGATAAGCTTTAACACAAATCCCGTTTGTAAAAATGACTTAGAGCTTGGCTGGAGGTTCGTCTTCCAGCTGATGAAAGCAAACATAACACAAAAGGGTTGGTTTGGAGCAAAGCATATCGTTGCTAGAAATGTCCAGATCGAAATCTAATGTAGGAATGAGGCAGAACATGAATGGTATCGCAGAATAAAAAAAAAAAAAGCGTGCTTCTGTCTCTGCACACTGAAAATTATTAAATAAATAAAATTAAGACAGTAGAAAAACCGTTTTATGGACATTTTATTATTATAAGGAAAAAGAATCCAAATCTTAAAGGTATAGTGGAGGATCACAAATTTTTACCGGCCCCTGAGACGGAACGCCTATTAAACGTGTGCGAGAGCGTGCACGAGCACATTTCTCCTCGTGCACGCTCTGTTTAAAAGTTGCTGCTCATACAAGCTCACTTTCCAAAAGAAAATTTGATATTTTTTGTGAGTGAAAATGGAGACGAACACGTAGGACGGCCTGACATGAACATATCACCAGAATGATTGACAATTACGAGGACCACCCCGAAAAAAAAAATCCTCCACTTTACCTTTAATGCTGACGTTCTGCACACGAAAATAAAACTCACTCAAAGAACAAACGTCTAACTTTTTAATTTTTCAGCTCGTCTTGAGCTTTTGAGAGCGTGACGATGGTTTGGTTGAAATTTCAGAATAAGAATAAAATGATTCCTCTTATTTTAAGAGTAATGTCACTTTAAAAAACAACCCTCCCCAAAAAAAAAATAAAAAATTCACAATTTAAAAAAAAGCACTACTGTAGATTTTGGAACAGATTCTAGCCAAGCAACTTTTGCATAACCTATTGGTAGGTTTCTTTTTTTTCTTCCTCAAAACAAGACATAGATATAGATATAAGAATGTTTGACTTTTGTCACATAATGCTTTTTTTTGTAGGAACAGAGTGCATGTGATGCTTTTCAGTTATTTATCTGCAATGGGATAACAGTTAATCATTATGGAGGATAAAAAGTGCCAAAATTAAATAAATAAATATGTTAGGGGGCGGGGTTAACGCGAATCGAGTCTCTGTAATCGATTTGCTTCGCCTTAAAGGAATAGTACACCCAAAACATGATTAGCCTTCATTTTCTTCTCACCCCCATGCTGAACAACACTCTGGAGTACTTTTTTGATATCTCAAATGCATCTGGAGATCTGGGAGGCTTCTTGCTGTCTGCTGACATTCAAATAATGGAGGTCTATGGCGCCCGAGGCAGAAAGGTCCATAAAAGTCCACAAAAAACGTGTCAATAATCCTCCATACTGCTCGTCCAATGTATTCCAAGTGTCCTGAGTGGGTAGCGTCCATAATTTACTCGAAACGAAGTCACTTAGAATGTTTTTAGAGCATAAACAGTAGTGTATAGGATTTCCTAAAAGCGCGTTCACGAGTCTACGGAAACCGCGGCAGACCAAACCAGATGAAAGTGCGCATTCAGCTCGGCAAAGAACTCATGCTCTTCCTCAACACTGAAGTCCTCAGACATTTTTCTTTCGTTGTTTCTTTCTTTGCACAGGTAAACAGCACATTTCTTCTTCTACGCTTGCATTATCGGCAGAGCAGACGCTGAATGCGCACTTTCATCTGGTTTGGTCTGCCGCGGTTTCCGTAGCATCGTGAACGCGCATGTGCGCGCTTTCAGGAAATCCTATACACTACTGTTTATGCTCTAAAAACATTCTAAATGACTTTGTTTCGAGTAAATTATGGATGCTACCCACTCAGGACACTTGGAATACATTGGACGAGCAGTATGGAGGAATATTGACACGTTTTTTGTGGACTTTTATGGACCTTTCTGTCTCGGGCACCACAGACCTCCATTATTTGAATGTCAGCAGACAGCAAGAAGCCTCCCAGATCTCCAGATGCATTTGAGATATCAAAAAAGTACTCCAGAGTGTTGTTCAGCATGGGGGTGAGTAGAAAATGAAGGCTAATCATGTTTTGGGTGTACTATTCCTTTAATGTGCAGGGTGACCAATCAGGTGTTAGATAACCGCCCCCTAACTTTGATGGGTGAGTTTGACAGATTCTTTTAATGGTTTCGATGCACTGCGACACAGGACCATGAAATAATTAAATGCACACTGAAACAATTATACATTTTTAATAAAATGAAGATATATTTTATTAAATTAATGACACATTTATATTTTTAGTTCCTTAGTTATTTAATGAATTTCACATTTAATTGTTTATCGCTGTATTTATTTAATTGTGGCACTTTATATTAGTGACATGGTTTTAATTAATGAATGACATTTATTTATTTAATTCCACATTTAAATAATTATTGACACATTTAATTATTTTTTTAATGCTGTATTTATTTTGGCACTTTTTATCCTCCATAAATCATGTGCAGAAACTTGAAATAAAACCCATTGTGACTTCAATAAGGTTAGAAACCAGCTCAGCACCAACAGTTGGTGTGCATGATGCATGTAATGGATGTTTAAGTATTTTAGTCCTATTGGAGAATATTAAAGTTTATTTCCAGCTGAAAAAGACTGGAGAAGCTTTGCTGCTTGTCTCTTTAAATGTGGAAGTAGATGGACTTTTATTTTCTTGAACACAGCAGCATCTTTTAACGCTTTATTTTTCTCATACAGGCTCTGTATAAGCTGTACAATGTAGCGGCCAACCACCGGCACCTGTACCACCACGCTTTCCCTGGAGCCCATGCAGACGGCGGTGCGGAGGAGCGAGACAAGAAGAAGGACTGATGGCGACGCAGTCGGGACTTTCTTTAGGGATGTACAGAGGGGGAGGGGGAAGGAGAGGGGACATCCTCACCCATGGAGCACTTCTGTATTCTGGTGATGGCTGCTGCAGCCAACAAGTCCAGGCACTACTTTAATCCTTATACTGAACTTTATAACGTTCATATATCAGATTGTCAGAGCACCTCAGTAGTGGGGGGGAGGGGTCGTATGTCACGTTTCATCTGGACAGATACAGGGGGCGCTCTGCTGGAGGAGAGCTCCTCGTACCCGTCTGCCGTTTAGAATCACAGATCTCTGTCATTTAATGCAGGCAATTCTTTTTTTTCCAAAGTGTTGCAGAGTTTGTGAGACAAATGTTCTGTTCTTTAAGGTTTCGTGTTTATATCTACGATCTGCAAAGGCCAAATTATGTACAGTGTGTTGAATAATGAAGCAGCATTATCTGCATGTTGATGTTTCTCATCTTTAAGCTCAGAATTCAGGTATACTTTTTAAGAAAAAAAAAAAAACATGTTTTAATGGTTGTGACAAAGTGGTATCGTGCCATAAAATGTTGATTTGTTTTTGTTTTTCTTTCATACATCCGTTCCAGCCGAGGCAAATCTAAACACACTAAGGTTTTTAGGTGCCTCTCAGATTTAATGGCGTTAGAACCACCAACTTTAGTGGGTTTTGTCAGGATTTTGTCCAACAGACCAACGCAGGCGTAATGAGACTGTGGAAGGGAGGTTGAAGAAAGAATCTGGAAAGTGTGGGGTGCATTTCTGCCCCTCTGAACCATTTGTCCCTGCAGACTCCTGAGGTGCAGACAGGTTGGATAAAAAAAAAGTGAACAAATTTCAATCCTGCCAGATGCTGAAATAGATTTGATCTCTTAACCCTCTGAGCACATAATTGATTTAAACATTTATTTATATTTATGTTAAAGGTTTGTTTACTTGCTAGAGGGTTGAAATTGTCCATCCTAGATGTTATTCGGTTTCCTTTCGAAAGTAATAAAGTTGAACTTATCCTTCCTTCAACTCTGACCAGCTTCCCTGTTTTGGGGAAAAAAGTAAACCCACAGCATGATCTTGCCACCGCCGTGTATCTTGTTTGAACATTTGCATCCTTATAACCCCCCCCTGAGCTTTAAAGCCCACAAATCAAAAGTTACTTTCCTAGATTTTGGTTCAGCTGGTCTCTGCACATTAAGAGACTGTTGATCAAGCTTTATCTTCCTCTTCGTATTTGAATTATAATCCTTTTTGTGTGTGTTCTATCACAGAAAACCCTGTTAAAACACACTGGAGGTTGTAGGTGTGATAAAAAGAGGAAGAATTTAAGTTACATTTCCTCTTTCTGGAGTAGTTCCTGGATCAGGTGTATTTTAGGGCCTTAGTGGCGACATATAGGTGAAATGCAGAGTAAGCGTCAGGTTCACAGCACCCAGCTGGCATCGTCTCACCTTTTAATCCGCTTTGCAGCTTTTGCATTTGCGCAGCATCCCGTGCATGCATGTTTGGCTTTTGAAGGTAAAGGGGTTGTTTTATGTGTAGTTTCTATTGAGACAAAGAGGAGGCCGGCGGATCCATTGTTTTGCTTCTCACTGAATGTTCGAGCAAATCCCAGGAATGTAGCCGTTCCGCGTCCGCAGAGGAATCAAAACTAGACGCTGCTGGGCGCGGCCACGGGGCCGGCTTTGGGAAAAGGCTCCTCATTCCAGATCTCATCCGTCATCTTCACACACGTAACTTGAATCCTCGGAGCTAAACAGTCGGGCCTCATAAACACGAAGCTTTCCGATAGAGACAGACACTTTATTAGTGAGTGGATGCTTTAGCTTCTTTGACTGCCGACCTGAAATCAGAGCGCAGCAGCGTCTGCTACAGAGCAGCTGCTGCAGCGTTTCTCATCATTTAGGAAACTGATGATGAGGTTTGACCTGAATGGCAGCAGCCTGGTTTCTGGAGTCTTCCAGCGTGTAATCAGCATCACGGAGGCTTTGAAGCAACACATGTTCCTTCCTAATATCCCTGTTGAGTGTTTTAGGAGCTTAATTAGCTTCATCAGTCAGAGAAGTTGTTTATTTTTCTTCTTCCATCCCTCTATGCTTAGGAAAGTGTTACATCTTTCAATTCAGCTCTTTGGCTTAAACACTGCAAAGTTACAGTCACAAAGATAAATAAAGTTGGACCAAATTAATGAACACAAAGCTGTTCCATTGCATTTTTTACCATAATCTTAAGATATTGTGAGTTAATTTTTCAGCAGTTATTACAAAATATTCTATTCAAAGACGTTTAAATAACTACCGTTCGTTTGGGACTTTTTATTGGTTTATTTTGTTCTAGCAGTAGAGTGGATAGTTTGAGGCTTTAAATACATAACGTAGGAATCGGTAACATTTTCGGTGTAAAGAGTCACTTCTGCCCTTGATTCTAATAATAAATCTCCAGTAAAGGATCACAGCGTTTCTATTTTAGAGTTCTAGATAAATGAAACTCAACTTTTACAGATCAAGACTTCTGCATAACAACCAAATCCGCCTGTTTGAACAGCGAGCTGCTGTTAAACTTTGCTTTTATAAAATCAAATCATTTCACGTTTACTCAAGGTCTAACTGGAATTATTTTTAACGCCAAAGTGATAAGAACTTATTTGATTTAAACAAAATATAAAATTGATGGTAGTTTCCATTTTAATAAGAAAAACCAGGAAAAAATAAAAAAGGTATTTTTTCTGAAAATCAAATTTTGTGAAACTTGTGCACTTTGACACGGATCCAATAGAAAAACATGCATGTAGTTGAACATGTGTCTCAATCAGTGATCTAAAATGTCCAGTTCTTGTTTTTAAAATATTTTAAAGTTTCATAAGGCGTGATCAATCCACTCGATTAAAAAATAAAGGAAAAAGTTCCCAAAATAAAAGGGCTCTTCTGTAAATGAAGACAGTAAATCTGCTCCCAGTCTGGTTTTATTCTGTAAATAAATGTGCTGCAACTGATGTAAAACCGCACGTTTCTGGTTTATAGATATAATTAACAAGCAGCACAAGATAACTAATATAAAGTTATGCTTTTTAATTAGTTAAATAACTTTAGATTTTAGCTCTAAAATCCAAAATGTGGTTTTGTGTAACGTGGAAACGCTTCTTCACTCAAAGAACACTATAGGCCTCCCTACATCGATTTAGATTATTTTTCTAATACTTTCACTTTCCGGGTTGTGCTAAATAGTTCAATAAAGCTTAATTTTTGTTCATTTTGTAGAATTGCCACTTTAGGAACACGTTATTACCGAACACGTAAAACAAAGATTCACAGCCATTTCTGTTAAACACGTATCAGGTGACCTTTATATGGTTTTAAGGTGTGATAAAATGTCCAGCAGCTTATTGCGTTTCATCTGAATCAGAGCAATGCCAGGTGAGCGGAGAGATGGGAAAACCGTCGCATCAAATGTGTTTCAGAATTACAAACCTTCCGATTGTCTTTAGTGTACAAAACGCCTCAGAACATGAGCAATGCATACGTTTATTTACTGGTTTAGTCTATGAGGATTACACAGTAACAGGGAGAAAATATATTGCGTTTAAATAAATGAAGCTGCCGGTCGTTTTGCCCTGCAGGAAAAAAAAAGACGGAATAGATGGCGTACGCTTGATATGAGCAAAAACTGTAGAGTTGCTTTAAGAAAGGCACGGTCTCTGAAGCTTCTCATCAAACGTCCAGACTTGGTGCTGCTGTGTTGAAAGAAGAGAAAAATTGCACCGTGATTCACGTCTCGTGGCGTTTTCAAAAACCACCAGCAGCAGCCTCCAGATCGTCTTCCTTCTAGTGTTTTCTTTCAGTCATTCATAAAGTGAACAGCACTCGAAGCGACCACTCCCCGTCAGGGAGTGTTTGGACTTCTTGGCTGATATATTTGGATCAAGCGAAGGCACGGATGTATTTGGTAAGGAAGCAATTACGAGTCTGGATATCAAAGGCAACACGGACCGCTCCCAAACGGCTGCAACCTCAGCGAAGGCGTTCCCGTCACATGTTCCCGATGTAGTTCTTGTTGGGCTGCTGGGTGTACCACTGCTGCCGCTGTTTACGGGCCTCCAGCTCCGACAGCAGCGCCTGTCGATACACCTCGTAGGATTTAACGATGTGCTCCAGCTCCTTCATGAACAGCAGCTTCAGCATGCCCTGATACGTGTCCAAGTCGGCCAGCTGGAACAGCTCCCACTTCAGGATGTGGTCATACCTGATGGGGGAGGCAAAAAGCGGTGGGATGATTGATTTTAGAAAAGTTTGCAGCAATAAGATGAAAAAAGTATAAAAGTCAGTTCAGTTTATTTATATAGTGCCAATTCAAACACGTCACAATTCACCAGATCATTAAGTCTAATTGATAGAAGAGAAATAATTACTGAATATTCTTGATTTGATCAAAACTCCTATAATTATTGCTTTAACAATAAATGTGCCTAAAAATACTAGGAAACAGAGATCCTAATTTATAGAAAAATACTTAACAAAAATGAAACCATTTAGACACAAACTTTACCTCAAAGATTGTCAATAATTTGGGCTGCAAACTGAAAAAAACCAACTGAGGTTGATGTATCCATCAAGCAGAACCTGAGGTCCGTTTCACAAATCAGTTTTAATCCTTGATGTTAAATTGATCAAGCCTGGGTGCCATTCCGAACTTAGTCCCGCCCACAACGTTTGAGGTCGGGAAGTTCGGTCTGGCATTGCTCAACAGTAGCGCGAGTATGCTAGCACAATATCTGGCGGGCCAATCAAATTGTCAGGGCGGGCTTTATACGATGATTGACAGATGATCAACAGTAACGTAATCAACCATGTGACCAAAGCTTGGGTGACAACAACAATGGCTGCCGCTGGAGAGTTGAGGTGAGTAGATTCTAGGGTTGTCACGATACTAAAGTTTTCAACTCGATACCGATACTAAGGAAAATATTCGATACTCGATACCATTTTCGATACCACAAGGATAAAATTTCAACAGAAATATTTTGATTAATAATTAAAATACCATAAATAAATAAATACAATAAACAATAAGAACAACATTTTGAGGTTGTTTTCTGTGCACAGTATTTAGCAAGCTTGATAAAAAAAACTTACAAAATTAAAATTAAGTTTTCCTTAATTGGCTATGCTTTGCACATAACAATGACACTAGCCAAACCGGTTAAGAAACAAAAATAATTCTCAGCAGCTGCAACTGTTACAAAAAAAGTCTGAAACTGAAAAGTGCGTAGAATTATTCGATCACACAGTGTTCAGAAAGTGCATTTTCCTCTATTCTGCACTTTAGATGAATGACTGCTTAGGTGCGACTGGTACTCGATACTTTTGAAAATGAGTATTGTATCCGGATACAACGTTTCAGTATCGATACTTTTTTGAGTATCGATACTTTTGACAACCCTAGTAGATTCTGCTATTAGGTCTGTTCTAGAAGATATCGACAGCAAATTAATTTTAAAAGAGGAACAGAGAAACGCGATCAAGGCATGAAGACGGTTCTTCCGGCTGGTCTCCTTCGTCGTCTGCCCATTTTTTAAACACAAGCATGTTGCGTTCCAACCGTGTTATAACGTTCTGACAGGACCGACAAATGCGATGTGATTTGACGTTTTGTAGAGTTGTAATCCTAAACGGAGAACTTGATCGTATGTGCATTCGCCTTTACCGTTTTTCTTAAAAATTAGGTTTGTGTGTTGAATGACTCCTTGTATCCTCAGGTTCATTTTGCAACACCGGCAAAAATCTTTCACGCTCATCTTCTTATTCTAGGCGTGCAACTGCACGCTTTGATTTTTGTTGACAACAACTATGCGTGGCTTAACATACGTCACGCACTCCGTTGCTCTTATTGGTTGTAGGTCTATCCAATTGAGTGCAGAGGCATTTTTTTTCCTGGTTCGTTCGAAACACGCCCCATAATCACAGCTCTATGGAGCAGCATCAGACTCATTCTGACTAGAATTGAGTCGGACTACGTCAGGCTAGGATTGATCTAGCCAGAAGTGGAAACAGAGAGCTTAGTGTAGCATTAAAAAGAAATATTGGAGAAAGTGTTTAAGCGACAGAGAAACAGCTCCCTAGCAGGACAGGAGGATGGAGACGGTTGCTACTTAGAGGTAGTGCACAAGTTTTTATGTACTCTATTTATGGCAGACACATTAAAAACGCTTTCCTCTCTGTTCTTCCATTTGTAGGTCACTAAAATAGAATTCAAATTCCTAGTGAAAACTGAAAAGTTTTTCTATTTTTTTTTTCTTCCCCCCAGTCAGGAACTGGATAGGGGGTGGCAGCCTAGTGGTTAGGGCAAAGAGCTTGGAATCCAGAGGTTCTGAGTAGGGATGGGAATGGAAAACTGGTTTCTGTTCAGAACCGGTTCCGTGTGTTCCAATTCCATGGCACCGTTTGGCAGCTCGCTTCAGGCAGCACCAGAGCCGAGCGCGGGCCAGCACGACCTGCGTCACGTTTATTATGCAAGTTACGCACACGGCATTCAGTAAGCAAGTACGGCGAGACCAGGCGCATGTCTAGAAAAGCAAAACAAAAGCGGTCAAAGCGAACAAAGGTTTGGCTTCATTTTAAAGGGGAATACCAGGGTTTTTTTTTTACTTTGGTCCCTTGATTTTCCGTTATTCCATCATGTTCTACTCTCCCATATGAGTTCAGTGTCAGTTGGAGCCGTTCTGAAGATATTCCGTTAGGTTATATCCAGTAACGTCTTCCTATGGGCAACGACTTGAAGGCACAAACTAAACTGTTCATCATTTATTCTTTATGGTACGCCAGCATTCAGAACATGGAGGACAATCACTGTCCCACAGACATCCGCGTTATATTTTTTATATTTATATCTTTTAAAAACGAAGCGGCGCGTGTATGACATCATCCGCGCGCAGCCCGGGGCCACAGGCGGCTACGCTCTACCCCTTCTATTCATTCTAGCTCATCTGAATCGTTCATTTGGAGAGCGAGATCATCCATGGTAGCAGCACTAGACATCTTCCAGGCATGAGAGGAAAACTAGCAGCAGTTCAGCGGACAGGAGGAATGAACGGTAGCCGGCGCGCGGATGACGGATGGTGGAATATGAAAGGACATCTAGACGCGGTCTAAAAAAATCTCTCCGGACAAATATTTAATTTGCTGCAAATAAATGCAGCTCCACTGATTGTATCGTGGTCTAAAGAACATGCTCTGTTCGTGTTCTTATCACCTAATGTGTCTAACAGTCCTGGTGTTTTTTTTTGCATAGAACCATGACAGAACTGTACTGCCTGAATCAGGTAATAAAAACAAGGTGATTGCTTTAAGGAGGGTGGAGACAGAGGAGACCTGCTCCTGAACAGGTGAGCTCTAGGGAGAATGTTACTATGGTAACACATACAGAAGCTGAATAAAATGTCTTTGTGACACGGAGAACTCAGTTTTCATTAAACCTGCTTCGTGAAATTGACCTCTTTGCACTTTTGGCCCTTTTTAATAGTGCTGCAATTGTGTTTAACATTAACTGGTTGATCTATTCTGAAGCCAGTTTTGATCTCTAATGTGAACCCAAACCTCTGATAAAAGCAGGTGGGTCATAATGTTTAGGAGCAACACAGGAACAACCGAGGCTCAGATCTGTTAGGGCACATTCCCTCTGCTGCTCCTGTTCTTAAGGTTTCTGTTTTGGTGTTTGAATGTGGGTCTGGACCTCTTCACCGCTCCATGTCGCCGCAAGAGATTTTCTATGGAAGAAAAATCCTTACCATATTTCAAATTAAAAGCATTTCCAGAAATGCTTTTCATTTTTGGAAGCGAATTGGTCTGACTATCGGGACACTGAACGAGCACAATGACCAAAACAGTGGCAGAGCTGCTGATGGAGGCCGCTGCTGCTTTAAAGCAAGTGCCTGCTTCTAGGGACCTGTGGCAAAGCCGACTGCTCCTGAGTTTCCCGCCGGCACGCTTACAATATAATGCAATGCAGACGTGCACAGCGCCCCCTACCGAACAAGATGGGTAGCCCGGTGAGCAAGGACCTGAGGAAGAGCGGCTGCTGACGTCACTCTGCTGACCCCGCCGCTCACAATGCTTTTTCATTTTCAAGTTATGGACAGTGCTTTGCTGGCAGACCATGAAAACCAAAAAGCAATGTCCGCTGTGTTTTCTCTTTGATTATAGCATAAAATCATTTGCATTTTCTTCTTTAAAAATCTTAAAGAAGAAAATGCAAATGCAAACAGGATGATTGATTACGGTACTAATTTCATTTATGAGTCAAGCAATGCAGCCACATTCTTAAAATGAAAAAAGCCTTTCTGGAAATGCTTTTCCATTTTCAAATTTTACATTTCCAATTGAATTTTGGTATGTATTTGCTGGGGTACATTTTGAGAAATAAATCTCAAATGTCTTTCTTTTTCATTTTAACTAAAAGGATGAGCGGTGTTGAGGAAGCAAATGAAAATGCAAACAGGATGATTGATTACTAATTTCATTTATGAGTCAAACAATGCAGCCACATTCTTAAAATGAAAAAGCATTTCTGGAAATGTTTTTTCATTTGAAATATGGTAACGATTCGCTTCCATAATTTTCAGCCTATTTGGGGTTAACACTATTTTTTTTGCTTCTTCCTCCACATAAATACGCAGCTCTAGCGCCACACATTAACCTTTTGTTTTTTGCCAACAGCTCCAGGAGTTTGCTCCCGTGGAAACTCCACCAAACTTTTAGCTCCTTTACTGCAAAATTGGCATTTATTTTAGCTAAATCTGTGTGAAATTTAAGGAACAATCAGGAGTCTGACCTTCACCCCTAAAAGTTCTTCCTTTAAAGGTCACAGAAGCGGCTCCCTTTGAGCCGCTGCTGCAGCACAATCTGAACTCACTTGAGGGGGGCCCGTGCGTACACCTGCAGCCAGTCTGGGATCTCGGCCGTGTGGTAGGGGTTAGCGGGCACCAGCACGGGCTGGTTTCTTTCTGCTGGACGCGGCTGATAGCTTACAGGAGGCGGTGGGGGCTGATCGTAACGAGGCACACTGAAACAGAATTTAGTTTCACGTTATTCTAAAGTGCATAAATATTAGCATCAGCTTCTTGTTTTGATGTCTAAGATGTAAATATATTACTGCTTTCACCTCGGGGCACAAGGATGGCGATACTGTGCTCTTTCGTTGATGTGATCCATATAGTAGACCCCAAACTCAGCAGACTCCACCTTCTCCCAGCCTGGGGGGAGCCCTTCCCTCTCCAGAGGGTGGCTCCAGTGTGTAGTGTTGGTGTTGTGGTCGATGTAGTACTTCCTGCCCCGGATGGTCCAGTCCACAGTCCAACCGGCAGGAAGGGGGAGGTCCTCCGCGGTCAGACTGGAGAGGTTCCCTAGAGACTTGGCCTGAATTCGACCTATGCCTGAAGAAAACAAGACATTTCTCACTAAAAGGCAAAGATACAGAACAAATGTGCAGCACTGCAGCTGTCAGCTTAATCCACCTCTAGGGAAAAAAAAAAAAAGATATTTTCAACTTCTTACTGTGTGGGAAAGAGGAGGAATGTGCTGAGTTAAAAAGGTCATCTAATGGGTCAACTAAACACACAACAGGCCGAGATAAGAATGCCTAGAATCAGTACTAAGGTGGACGGATGCAGGATGAGAGTAAAAATCTGATTCAGGCAGAGTTGTAAATCAATTAGACAGCTGAGGCAGATCATCCAAAGTAGAGTCTTTAATGAATAGTAGGAAATATCTCCCAACACACGAGAGCAAAAAACACAGAATTCCCAAAAACACTTTCTAGAAGCTGACCTGCCAATATCTACGCTACTTTTATAGAAGAACAACATCAGCGGAGGCATGTTGGACCAGCCAGCCGTGAGGACGACCATCATGGCCGACAGACGAAATAAGCAGAGAATTCTGGGGAATGAAATATCTGAGGAAAAAGCTGATGAATTGAGCAGGAGAGTGACAGCAGCAGAGCTGGAGCTGAGGGAAGGAATGGAATGTGTTCCTCCTCCAAGGAGACGGACTGAAACGTCTCCTCCTTCACCCCATCATCATCCTTAACGGCTCCTTTTTCCCTTTAGAAAAATACGCCTTGAGGAACTAAAGTGGTAATACTTTACTACTTTTCCATCATTCTACAGCCTGGAATATAGATTCATTTATTTGGATTTTATCAGACAAACACAAATGTTGCAAGAATGGGAGGTGTATACAAAGTAAACATGGTTTTCTAATGTTTCTAAAAATAAAAATCTGATTTCAGCGAGTCAACACTTTTTAGAGCCACCTCTCCCTGTAATTAAAGCTGCAAGTCTTATTTTAGATTTACGCATCAACTCACTGACATATTTGCCCATGTTTCCATTAAAAATAGTCCATTTGTTGACGTTTTTTCACAGATTCTGACTCGGATTAAAGTCTAGAGTTTGTCGAGGCCATTCCTGACACATGAGTTTGGTTTAAAGCGTTTTATTAAAGCTCTGGCTGCAGGTGGTTAACCCGACTCTTTTGCTGCCTGTTTCTCTCTCCATCTCCCTGCCAGGTCTGACCAGCTTCCCTCTCTTTGCTGCCTCAGCATAAAGCTGCCACTGCTATGTTTTACCAAAGAGAAGGCATGTTTAGTCTGATGTAGTTCCTTCTCAGCTGACCAGAGCACCTACTACCACATGTCTAAACCTTAACTGGGACGACTTCTAGCTTTACCTTAACGACGGCTCATTTTTGGTCAATATTTTCTCTCTTTGAGAGAAATATCAGCTGTGCTGCTGCCATCAACACCTTTGTTTCTAGATGTTGGAGCTTGGCCTGTTTTCCAGTGTAGTCCTGTTTCTCTGACTG